CCCTGACATCGTTCGTCCGTAACTACCCCCATCGGTGGATCCAGGAATTTTAAGGGGGAGGGGAAAAAAAGACGGTTTAAAAAAAAAAAAACCAACACCCCCCCACCCCCACCCCCCCTTAGCTCCGCCAACGCAAAAAAATCTTCAATGTGGTATTTAGTTATTTTCAAAAAATGGGGAGGGGGGTTCGAACCCCTGAACCCCTGAACCCCTTTCAGCTTACGTGCACACAATTTCTTTAAATATGGCATTTGGTATGCGTGAATGAGGCTGTTTACAATTAACAGAAGAAGATGCGGTTTTAATAAACAGTTAAAGTACCTTCTACCGGCTTATGGTATTATAATATGTGGATTTCATCATCTCATGAACATTCAATATTTCAATATATATGTATATATGTTCCTTAACTTGTGAGCACAAGTCCAATTCGCTTGCATCACAAGAAATGTTGTAGTCAAATAAACTGTGTAAACGATTTAACCAGTTAAAGATGGAGATACATATGTTAACATAACCAGTCACTACCCGAACTACAATGTATGTGACGTGAAAACTGGAGCTGTATTGTAATCATTCCCTGTAAGTTTGAATCCGTCGTTTTAATCGTTACATACTGTATAAGTAACTTCAATCCTAGCCTGTCTCACAGTCCCTGCATTTTCCCTTCTGCCTAGCTCGTTCTGCAATGCTAAAGTTCTAAATGAAGCAAGTCTAGACTTCCTAAGGTTCTGAATCTCCCTTGGGCTCCTATTCAATTTAAAAAGAATTGTTTGGTTCCATTAAAGTTATATATCTTCAGTCTTTTTCAACCCGTGCTTGCCTTATGAGAGGAAATCATCTAGTCCGTGTCCGATGTAACATTTCACAGGGAATCTGCAGGAGAAAACATTGTGTATCAATAATCTCGCTATATAAGGACGGACAAAATATATAACTGTAATTAATTTTGTATGAATGGGCGCGGCATATACTTTGAATAATTGCCGAATATACGTCTTTTAACTACGAGTCACTGGCGTTAAACAACGGTTCAGTTTAAGAAAGTATGTACTGGAAAACTGGATTTGACCAACGTTTGACCAAACAATTACAAACGTTATCAAACCTTGACGCTTATATTCAGAATAAGACTTGGTGATTTATTGTAAGATCTTAACATATGTGTAGAACATCTTGTAATCTTTAATAGAAATCATTGACCTACAGTTGAACTACACTGCAGGACAAAATAAAGTATACCTCAACGTCTGGCGGCGGCACACGATATAACAAGAATGGTTGTCGCTCTCACAGCAATAAAGAAGTTGTTCATCCATGTATTGTCATCCTTCCCTACTGCTCCAACTTCTAAATGCCTCTCAAAGAAGTTAAGAAATGGTTGTCCGATGGTGAGATATATATGTAAAATTTCAGGTATCATAAGTGTGTTTGTGCAGAGTTTAGGCGACTGTTTTCAGACAGATAACGTTTTTATAATGTTTGTATTGTTTGTGAGAATCAGTTTTTAAGTGTATCCTTAATTTGCCCTGCAGAGTAGGATACCAGTATGCAAAAACACAGGCTGAACATTAGATATTGATAAAAAAAAACAAAGAATTTTCCTTGGTGGGTCTGGCTGTAAGAAATTATGTTTCCATTTGGTTATTAAATTCTTCTTTCTATCTTGCCGAGCCCGCGTCATGTGTCCGCGTATAGAGGCACGAGGACCCGTATGTTCTGGGGCGATGTATGACCATCGATTATTCATTATGTCCGACAGAATTATTCATACGTCCACCAACTTAGTCTGAGTGGCGTGAGGTACTACTTGTCATGTGTTTATGATTTCAGGAATATGGTTTGTCTTCAATAGTATAGATGGAGAGATAACAGATTCCTACCTGTATATGTTTCCTTTCATACATGTACATGTTTTATATCAATACTAAATAGGAATCACTGATATATAACATGATATAACACAGATACGAGCCAAGTGTGACATACTTGCCGTAAGCAGAGATCGTTATAAGCAGCTGTGTATGGACTTGATCAGTGATTTAACGACGTATCTGCAAATCAACTTACTTACAATGTATGGAGAACACTTTTTTTCCATATTTGTAATGTTATAGGCGGGTACATCGAAACATACATAATGTCTTGTACTGAGGACGCTGAACGAGAGGGAGTGATACTGAGGCAGGAGGTTGATAGTGTGAGCATCTTCATGATTGCCCGGCTGTGATAATACCCAAGGTCATGCTTGTGATACTGGCTGCGGGTCTTACAGCAACATGGCGATACTGTTATACAGCGGTGCATTTATATGCTGTGTTCATACAAACGCGTAAATTGCAAATGTTGTATAAAACTATAATCATATCCGCTGGCCCAAAGTGCCATAGCTTGTGTTTTCACTACGACGTTCATGAAAGGCATTTAGAAGTTAGACGAACATGAACACATGACACGTTTTATGAATAATTGCTTCTTTCAGTTCTTTATACGACTTTTCAGAGCTAATTCTTGGTCCTTCAGGTGAATGTTGTCCAACAGGCTTTTATCAGTGCATGCATACATTACTGTTTTAACATATCCTTTTGTAGCTGTTCCGTTATTTATTACCCTCAGTAAGTTAAAATTAAAATCATTATGTCACATAATGTTCTGCCCAGTGTTACTAGTTCCGCGTGTTCGGCGTCGTGTTACCTTGGTTCACTCGGTGTGTGGTGCGCGTCCATCTCTCGTACCGGAATTATAATCAAATGTAACGCTGGCGTAATCAAATGTAAAAACGGTTTTGTTTGAGATGGAATTATGGTGTGACTGTATTCGGTTCATATTGTTATGATGAAGTTTGAATTTGTTAAATGTAATTTTAACCGATGTCGCAGCTATAAAACAACAGGGATTGCGGCTGTACGGGACAGAACATGTGACTAAATATATATGAAGATATATCTTGGTCATATTCAGAGTGTACCCCCTTCATAGTGTTCATAGTTTGGCCCCTAAGGATCGCGTACCCCAAACTCAATTTCAGGAAAAGTCATTTTTCACCCCAAATGATGCTTCTAGTGCATCGTATTTAGGTTGGTCTCCCTTTCGGGAATTACTACATCTTTATCAGGCACTGGTTATATAGTTGTCGTCAGACAGAAGCTGCTGAAGATGGTGGAGATGTTAGCCTTGTCACTTGTTCATCCTCACCCCCCAACCCCCCACCACAGAGTACCCCATCTCATATGTAGGTGCTATCCTAGAGAATGTAGGTTACGGATTATGTTGACTGTGACATATTAGGAAACATCTTACGGGCAAATATATTGGTATATGTTCTGATAAGGATAAAAGAGGTTGTTATCATATACAAATTCAAAATGTCACTTCAAGATATATAAAAACATAGATACAAAAATAAATGGATATTTCGCATACACCAAAACTAGTGCATATTCATAAATAATATTATACCATTAAGGATGATAGAAATGCTTTCTTCGCTGTATTTTGGTGATCCTTCGACATTGTTTCTTTACCTTAACCCTTGGACACCGGGTGTCTGAGGCAATCCAGCACTAATACAGAGTGGTGAAATGTGACGGAATATTTTGAAATGAATTGCATTAAATACACTAAATATCTCCTGTGTTAATGAGACTTGATGAAAGGAAAACGGAAAATACATGAAATACTTGTCCCTCAAAGCATGCGTTTATTTATATCTATTTACGCGTTTCCCCGACAAACAACATGCAAAGTGTCAAAACATAATTGTATTCATAACATTATTCTGATTTAGTCATGGATAACTGAAATACTGTTTATGCGGCCTACAGCAATATTCACTCAAACAGCATTCGCAGACAGTCGTTTTTCAACATTTTCAGGCGATCTTGTAATTTTCAGGAGTGTATGTACTTTTTTAAAACCCGACCATTTTGTTGTGTACTACGTTACCCTTGATGCGGCCGAGATTATGGTATAGATATCCGTGACACTTGGAGACGTACAGTTGAATGGGGAGAAAAACTCCCCCTTTCTTTGTCCTGTGAGTGGTTTTGGAAGACTAAGACGATGATGTTATGTAAACAAAACTGTAAATGTTGGTATCAATACCCACTACGAACAATATTTTGAGTTTAACAAGGGCTCTCAAATTTCACAGAAATGTTTCGCGTGCGTCAAAGAACGCTTTTAAAGTGTTAAACTTCACAACAACATAGCGCACTGGTCTGTTGTATAACGCAGGTAAGTGGTGATGACTGGCAACAGCGGTCCCACCAGCTACAGCCCAACGCAGTTCAAACACCATGAAATACTATCTCTTGCTGTAGTGCATTATCTGTTTGACAAATCTAGCATCTAGTAAGACATGATATGGCACTGCTGGGCAAAGGGACAAAATACTGTTTCAAGGGATTAGGAAATATCTTCACTAAAACCAAGAGAGACATCGAAATCCTGGGAAACGCTGTAAAAGTGTTAAGATAAAGGTTCAAAAGTGTAACTTTCCAAGTAACTATTTTTGTTGGCACTTGTCATTCAAGGAAATTAAATGAAAATTGACGTATAAGTTGACAGGGAAGGATTGTTTGTTAATGTATACATTCATGGTGACTGTCACTTGGCATCAAATCATCTTCCAGCGCAGGCATATTGTCATATCAAACGCATCATTGAGTGTGTATAACCCCACCCCCCACCCGTTCACGTCCCCTCCCTACCCAGCCACGTGCGCTAGAGGTTTACAGTGTTTACTGCCTGTCACTCCGCTGCCGTTAGCAACAAGACTCTGGAATCGGCGAGTCTCTGTGATCTCAATTTGCTCACGGTGCCATCAGCTGACAAGTGGGCGGATCTTGGAAAAGGGGCGGAGCTTGGTTTCATTAATGAAACTAGTGAGAGGATCGCTGTCGCTGATTGGCTGAATCAACCTGACGTCATGGGGTTGGCTTTGATAAGATTCCCTCCACGGGTATCGCTTACATATGGAACTGAGTGCATTTATAAGCCAGCACCTTCATTGACGCTTACACTACTACCGTCACATCTTCAGTAGCAGCGAGTTGTGATTCTTGGTCGTGTAAACTCTTTTTCTGTTGGATTCTTGGATCGCGTCCAACATCTTCCAGAACCGTGTGAATATTCTTCCCGTGTCACAGCTGCCAGACATCAGCGTCATGAGTCTCAGTGTAGGAGCTTACTCTCAGGGGTACCCCCACCCGGGCCCCCTCGGACATGAATTCTACCAGTATCCCCAGGTCCGCTACCCGGACCCCCACACTGACGCCGGGTACTTCCAGAACTGGATGCTAGGAGCCCAAGAGATGCCCGTGTCCCCCGATGCCTACGCAATGGGGCCAGGATCACCCCCAATAGACCCCGCCACCCATGTTGTGTACTATGAGAACGGCATCAGGTGCGTCAAACGTCGCATCACGGCCAACAAGAAGGAACGACGACGGACACAGAGCATCAACAACGCGTTTGCGTCGTTACGGGGGTGTATACCCAATGTTCCGTCAGACACTAAACTCTCCAAGATAAAGACTCTGCGATTGGCAACAAGTTACATTGCATATCTCATGGACGTGTTAGCCAAAGACGATCCCAAACTGACAGAAGCCGGATTCAAGGCAGAACTCACTAAAAAGACAGATAGACAGACAAAAACAGAAGAAGAAAAGAAAAGGAAAGAAATTCAGGTACTCATTTAAATCTTGTACATTTGTACTAGTGACCTACGTCAATATTAGTTTCCCTCTTTAAAACACTGGTAATACACGGCTATGATGGGGGTGATAGTGCGTTCCATTTGACAGTGCGCAATATGTTGTAAAACAGCATTCGTAGATAGGATCTTAATATCAGGTTCCTGTGTCAGGTTTAATAACCATACATAGCTCAAGTAAACTGTTTGAAATGAAAATTGTCTAGAAAAATATAAACGTTAACAGAGAATTAATATTCATCTGGAAATATTCCATTATCCGTTCTAACATGCGTAAGTTAATCGCTAAAGTCTTCCATTTATGAATTATTCTCCGGTGTTGGGTTTTGTAAACACAATAAAACAAATCCCCTCGTTATTAGCCTAGAATATTGCCAGGAATGTGAAGGCTCCACACTAATGTCAACCTTATCGTAGCTTTCTTCAAATGGTTGGCATTCGCGGCAATATCAGATAATATTTCTTTCTCCGATTCCGCAGCCAAACTTTAACATCTTCTTAATGCCTACATCGGCGTTGTCAAAGAAGGGGGACCTCCCCGCTTCTCAGGCATTGGGAGGGTGAGCGGCAGGGGTGGAGAGGGGTTATCAGACTGTAATTAAAGCTGCCAGAAAAACAAAGGTCTGACCCCAGAACTGCCCCAACATTGTTAAGTTGACTCATTTGTCTCTTTCAATTCAGGAACGGTCTAAACTGTACCTCCCCTCAGCCACAAACCTATTTCAAGGTCACACATAAAACTACGACAGGCATACAAAAAATTCTCAACAAATTTTCATTATTCGCCACTTACACAAGATGTGGTTTAGGAGATGGAATTATTTACTGATGGAAAACGCAATGGTTTGTTTTAATTCCCCATAAAGCTAATAATTAATAAAGTAAATATTTTCTATTGGAATTTAAATGATTGTAAAGTTCGTGTCACTATTAAATTATTTTGACAGAAAATATTTTCAAAATATTAAAACTGTTCCACAAAATATAAATTCGTCGTTGCCTCAGTTCCTAAATGATTTTTAACTTTATTTGAAACAAGAACAAACAATAAATTACAGTTGCTTTATGATATGACGCGGCTCAAATTTATTACAGTATCATTTTATTTTTATTAAGTAAAAAATGTTTTTTGCAAATTAAAACGGAGTTACAGCGGCTTAAGACACGACTGGCAATTCCAAGAGAAAAGCTATTTTGTCTTCGACTAATTTCCTCCTTTAAAGCAGATACCCGCTGACTGTGGGTAGCAAATCTCTTTACGACATTTTCAAGTTAAGACGTAGGAACTACGAGGCTGGGAGATACCACCCGGAGAGAGAGATGATTTGGTAGGTTTCCCTCCGTGTATCTCGCGTCTATTGCCTGCTGAGTCAGGGCCGAGACAGACACGCGGCTTGAAGACATGAGAAACATATAGTGTCCTCCACACTGTTAGTTTTCTATCATAATAACATCGGTAGAGTGAGGATCATATTTGACACACACACAAACAGAGCGACCTGCCTACATCTGGTCGTTAAGGCGACCGTTATCAACACAATGATAGTTTCTCTCATTATGAGTGACATTTCATCAGATTTATGCGTCAATATTTTTTGGTAAACATACGTACCACGTGAAAATATTGTAATGTGTTAGATATATCTTTATGATGGTGTTAAAACTCTGAAAATCACTTTAAAATGAAGTAATAGAAAAATAGAAATACCCTCCCCGGTGGCGGATTCGTTGTTATACCGAAACTGTAAAGTTTAATAAATTTGTGAATGATATTTGAAATATAAAATTACACTCGCGTGTTTCTGGACTAATACCCCCTGCATAATTAAGAATTTCTTAAAATGACCTTCTCATTAGATATCAAAGATACTATATCTACAGATCTCCCAGAACTGGAGTTGTTTTCGGTATTGAATTCATATCAATTTGTCTCTATTATAATATGTTAGAAATGTATTTCCTAAACGGCTACGACATTAACAGATGTCGTTCATTTGAGTTTCCACAATTCTGTCCTGATATCTGATCATATACCAACTGGAGCGAGTATTCCCCCGGATCAAACACTCAAGTTGATGGTGTCGGTGTCTATGGTGGTGTCAACGTCGACCGCCGTTTTACACCTTCTTACAAAGACGCTAGCTAATTTCGCTTATTTCGGTGTATTTATCCCACACTCATCACGATAATTAGGAATACAATCACACCGCGTGGTTTTAATTTAATTAACGAAAACCACTAGGGACTTTACATCGGCTTTTGTCAAAGTGAACGAGATAAATAGGTTGATAGTGATGCGACTACTGTCAGCCTCAATCACACCAGGGACCACAGACAAACCTACACGGCCAATATATTCATTCTGCGTGTTGTTTAGTCATACTTTCAACTTCCAGCAAGGGACGCCTCAAAACGTAAATTCACGTGATTGAAATTAGTTGAATTTATTGAAACACATTTGTTAATCGTTTTTATTACGATCACAATATTTGGTAAGTGATTTTTTATTTCGATCGCAATAAAATATCCGGAAAGTGGCGTGTATCACAGAAAATGTCAATATAAATAATTTCACAACACGTTTCATTACTAAATCATGATCCAATTCAAATTACACCACTGTCGGAAAATGTCCTTTCATGTTGTGTTTGAACACTTTGACTGAGTGCTGTTTTATCCATCAAGACATTTTTAATATATCCCGTCTGTGTAGTTTTGTGCTTTGTAAACGGGAAAGATTATTATAAGTTTCCGTAAACGGTAACTGCCATCTGGAATTGTGACGGACTAAATTACAACTGAACTGAACGGATTAAATATACCATGACGTCAGACGCTTTTAGAATCTGTCAATGACATGCAAGTAGTTGCCAAGAAATAGTATGGATTTCGACCTGACAAATACCATGCACGTATTCCATACCGCTTTGACATACACCAGATTTCAAGCCACCGTTTCGTATCAATTTCTGAGACATTCTATCACTATAAGTACAGGGTCACGTGCTTCACATTTAAATATTTGTCAGGCCGAGGTCAGAGGGGATAGTAAAGAAGTTGATGTTCTTTCTTATATTTTATTGACAACATACAGCTAAATACAATTTTATTGAATCATATACATCAGAATAGAGAGTTCAATTATTTTGTAATTAATTATTTTACTCGGACTACAGGCACTGGTTAGTAGAGAACATTTGTGTACGATCAGCGCTTAATATAATATTTTGAGTATCGTTATTTACCTTGTAAACAGTAACTTTGCAGTACACAATTTTAAACAAATTTCAGGGATAAAATTTAAAATTTTATTCGTGATCAAATAACTCGCGTTGTGATGAGCGGGGTAGTTCTGTGTCTCAGTCTACGATCCCACCGGTGACCATTTAGCATTTCCTTTTTATAATTAGGTTTCTAGAAAAAATAATCGCCGGTGATTGTCTGTATAAACTGTAATGGTGGCGTCCCGATCGTCCAGGGGGTAGAGCTTCACTGTGTATTTTCTTCCAAGTCAAAAGTGTGGATTCCAGGCAAAATTTCTTGACTAGTTCAGGTGCGAGGGGGGACCGACCCGTCAAAACGTCGCCCCCAATCAGACCATTGCGATATCTAACAAGCATAGTTTATTTATTCAGGGTTTTTATTTTGAAGGCTACGTGGGTGATATTTGGCGTAAGTATCGCGTGATTTGAGGCAAGTCTCGTGTTTCCACGAGATGTCAGTCATCTCGAGTGGTCGATCGCTTTCAGCTGTCACCAAATCACACAAAATTTGGCTAAAACTCCTGATTTCTCGCACGTAGCACCGGTCAAGATTTTCTAAAAAGTCTCACCCAATTTCTTACTTCCTTATCCACTTGTCATTCCATCGGAATTGAAAAACATGAAACTACTTTCACCTCGTAATTTCAACTGTTAACAACCAGGCCTAAACAAGAGCGGTCTGATTTCACGCACACCCTTATATACCAACGATAAACGAGAACTCGAGGCTTAAACCACCTGTTTAAATTACAATAGGATTTTGGAGTTAACTGTACATATGTACATGTTTAATATGAGGAATTATTATGTAGGATATATCCCCAAGAATGTTCCCATACCCAATACCCTCTACTCGTGACACGCTATACTTAATTCTTGTTGGGGAACTATTTGCGCCAGAGTGGGTTATGTATTGATGCCATTATGTCGGTCGTACTGCTTAAACTGTTACGAGTATTTCCACCTTGAACAGGGGTAAACACTTGGATACAACGTCAGTATCAACACACGCGTCAACGTGGGTGTGAAGTTGGTAATCTTTATTTCGCCTCCAACAATATCAACGCAACAATTACTTCAAATTATATATACACCCAGCAATATGTAATACATAATCTAACCAATTATTACTATTTTGTGTTCACACAATTTGAAATATACCTACCTATAGTATACACCCTACATAAACGATATGTGATATATCCAACAATAGTTAACAACTCACGTATTGTATATACACGCCTCTGGTTGATAACCCCTGACTGATGGATATAGCTTTAAAGATGTTCCTCGTGTGTCGATACCATACTGTTCTCTGGAATAGTGCCAGTAAGCTACAGGTCCGGCATATTTCGATATACGATTATTCCTTGAACGTGGTTGACAGAGATTAAGTCTTCTTATCTGTGTGGTACATTCCTCTCCCTCGAGGCCCCGTAGATCGGGGGTAATATTGACGTTTGATCTTCGTAATGTGAACACTAAATATATTCCATGTCCCCACGGCGGGTCGAATATCGCCATTGTTTCACTCCATCAACCTGCCGTCCTATTGTCTTAAACAGCTAATGAATCAAACCTTATTATCCAAAATGATCAGCAAATTTAATTTGATTATTTGTCAATTAACTTGTCTCACTAATTTCCCTGATCGGTGTGGAATTGAGCGAGTGAAGAGGATATCGGTTTTAATAAAGCTAATTGCTAATTC